TTTACATCTGAAGTGTAAAATATTTTTACAGTGCTATGTAATTTAATGTTGATACGAAATGTTACGATAAACATGTTGAAACATTAGTTCATAGACCATGTGATAATACGATGCTAAACGAATGACAATGTTACGGTAAAAATTTGATATCACATTTTTACAGTGTCAATATTAAATTTTTCACATGACATTGTTACGCTTACAGTCTGTTACACGTGGTACTGCTACACTTTTACCGTGTCCGTAAGTTCACACTTCATTCATCACGCTTACACACTTTGACCGAGACATCATCTCAAATATGAACTTGCAGCATTTTTGATGCGGCCTTAATCGTTGCAAAGAAAACCTGCTTCTTTATTTGTTCATTAACTCATCGTTATATGTAGTTGGTTAATCTGATGTTATCTTCTCCATACTTTATATTGTCCTTTCTGTGTTTTTTCGTCAGAATTGCTGAAACTTGTGCGGTTGTTGTAATATTAAAATTGATTCTACTGCAAAGTGTTATGTAAAATTATTCATAGAAACATAGAAAGTGATATAACTTGTCAAACAATCTTTCAGATAAATGATGTACAATAGCGAGAATTACATGTAAAAATTAATTTTGCTAACATTTTTAAAATAAAATTAATTTTTTACAAATTTAATATCAAAAGATTATTGCTACACTGGAGTCCAAAATTTAATTATCTATAAAACGATGATGACACATTGACACTGATTTTTTGATGATTATAGTGTGGATGTAGCTTCGTTGGCAGTCCTATGCGACTAGCAGTATTAAAAAGATTATTCACGGTCTCAAAATGCACTTACACATAGTGTATTTATATAATACTGATTTTTGCAAACGATGGTTATTTTCCTTTTTAAGGAACGTACTAGCAATGAATTTAACCTGATACCTATACGCAGGAACGACGGCTTTTCGCGTACTTTTGGCTTTCTGCTTTAAATCAATATTTTCATATGAAAAAAATGTTTCTTTCACATGTACCACACCACACTGTTCCTCACGACATCAATGAGGATCCAAGAAAAGAAGTATCTTACACAACGTGCCACTATTCAGTAGTAGTAGAATAATTCTATCTGGAACCTTTCATCGTTACAGCAACTTGGTTCATTTCACTTAAAACCAGTCTGGTTTTAAAGAGCTCGTCGATTTCTGTAAGAAAATGTCTTTTTTCACATTATGGCTTATGCAGAAACCGAGAAAAATGACTTTCATCCTCTCAGCAAAAAAATTGAATTTGGCGCTACTCTCATGTGAGTTTATGGGCATCAATATAGGTTTATAACATGTTCTCCTTTTTTTAGCAAAGCCCTTAAGATTTATATACTAAAATCTGAAGGTTGAGCAGTAAATGTTAAACATGAGAACTGGAAATACACTTTAAAAAAAACGTGCTCTTCGTGTTTTCTGAGAATGAGTTGAAGATCTCATTTAAGGCTTTGAAATATGAAGAACTTAGTTTCTGTTTATCAATAAAAAATCAGTTTTTCACCCATTTCAGTTTCTCGGCTCATTTTAGTTTTTCAGATATTTTGTTTTTCAAGATTTGGAAAACACAATATTTCATTTGAGTTCTCTGAAGATCTCGAAGTTGAAAAAGGAAAAGAAAATCATGTATTTCAATCACCGCTTTTGTTTTGCAGTTCCTAATATATATAAAGGACATGATCTTTCCTTACAAAAGCTTAAACTTATTCTCAAAAAGTTCTATTTACGTACAACAATGTGTACACTTCGAGAACATGTTTGTTCTTGACAATAGAGTTCTAAAAGTTGACTCAAACCCAACGAGTCGAGTACCTAAGATGTTTGGAACTTGATTCAACCCGGTCGAATGAGGTTCCAATGACAGTCGAGTTAGGATGTGGGTTATAGTATATTTCGGAGTAAGGTGTCTCATTACACCCCCCTGTTCGAGCTATTTGGTAACATGTTCAATAAACATACTCTCGCTTTAACTGGTGAATATGATACTTCCTATATTTCCCCTCATGCGTCACATCTTATGTGTTATTGCCTAAAACTTTCATAGCACAACCAGGACCTATAAATTTCGGCACTGATGTGCACCGGTGCGAGATTTTTACATTCTTTCTGGCACCGATGCGTGTCGGTGCCTAGAAAAAAAATTATTCGACTTGACACTTCCCTATAAAAAAAATTTCGGTGTGGCACTGGTGAAAATCAGTATGCATCGGTGTGCATGGCATGCCATCGGTCACTGGCACCGGTGCGCACTCGTGCCCAGCAAGTGCCGAACCAGTGCCGATATATTTCTGCCGAAAGAGCGCCGCAATGGTAAAAATTAGTGCCGCACTGATAATTTATTTAATCAATTTAATTAGTTTTTTTATTATAGTTGTTTATGCTAAATTTTTTATGAGAATGCGGCACTGATCAGTACCACATTGAGATGCCAAAACCATGCGGCATTGCCTGGGCACTTCTCTTATGAAAAGGAAAAGATGAAATCAGAAAGACATTCGACATATTAGAAGACTGTGGTGTTAATGTAGACAGAAATTGACAAAACAAAATGGTGATTGAAAACAAAACTTCGGCACTGGTGCGAGATTTTTACATTCTTTCTAGCACCGATGCGTGTCGGTGCCTAGAAAAAAAATTATTCGGCACCGGTACGCATCCGTGCACAACCAGTGCTGATAAAATATTTTTTTGTAGGGTTCATCATCCACATTTAACTCATTTACCCTTTTCCCCCTATCTCATTTTCCTCGAGAAATTTTCTATCAGGTTACTTAGTTTTCTATACTTATGCAGGTTTCCAGTTGACAATATTTATACTGAGTAAAAGAATAATTCTACATTTGATCACAGATATCGTATTGATTAAAAAAAGGAATTAAAATCCAGATTTTTGAAGAAGTCGAAGAACAGAAATATGTTTTTCGGTCTGATGTTTTCTGGAAAACAAATATCCCAAATAGAGGTCTGAAAAAATGAAAAACTCAGTTTCTGTTCTTTGGCTTGTTCACGTAACGCGACACTTCGTTGATCAAGTTTTTTTTTGTTTTCATCGGGAACTCGATAGGAGTCCATCACCAGACGTAGTTTTTCATGCTGATCACGAATTCAGCCTTTATTTTCAAAAAATACTGAATTTTTAATTAAAAAATTTAAATTTAAATTTTCTGATCTAGAGACTTGTGTAAAATAATTTTAAAAATGTAATATCGAATAGAGAATTTAATTCTCTACAAAATGGCTCTTTTATTTTGAGAAATATTTCTCAGTCGACGCACAAGGGCTGCTTGCAAGTTTGAACTCCCGACTCGATTTAAAAGCCTGAAGCACCTTTTGGAACTTTGTTTGCAAGTGGAATATCTTCCGGAAGGCTAGAAGTACTCAAGCTATAAGTATGAAGTTGTTTGAACAACGCTGACTGCCCTAAAATGGTGTGACAAAAAAATGTTTAATAGCTAGTTAGAAGAAAATTTTTTTTACCGCTGAAAAGCTCGTTTGGTGCTCTACAAAATTTGCTCTAGGGGCATTTCATTTGCAGAAAGACTTTCGCAGAAAATTAGAACTTTGGCAAGAGCACTCCAAATTTAGAATCTTTTTATGTAACAGCGTTACGCGATGAAAAAACCTTTCTTGAAGCTCCAGACTTCAACCAAAAAACTTCGTTTTTATAGGATAAATAGAGTATGATGAGCTGCGTCGAATGGCATTTGAACGAACTTTCTAGCTCTCAAACTTTTCGAGATAATTGAGAAAAAGTGTGTCAAAAACGTAACAGCGTTACGTTTGGACAAGTCGTCTTCCGGAAAATGAAAATATCAGCTTTGCAAATTTTCAGAAAATTCACATCAGTTCCCTATTTGGGACAAATGAAAGACACAGTTTCAGTTTTCTAAAAAAGTCCTCTTTTTTAGAGTGTATATAAAACTCTAACGATCACTGTGAATTAAATAAAAACCATTTATTTATTAGCGAGCTTTCGATGTGTAACACGCGTCATCTTCAGGCTAAATGAGTAAAAAAACTAAAAAAAGATATTATAAAGATGAATGAACTGAACTGAACTAATTTTTGAACTAAAATTGTTTTTTTACTAGTCTTTGAACTCGTTTCCGTTATGTTTTCATCATATATTTGAAGTGAATATATGATACGCCACCGGTCGAAAAAAACGTGCACTCTAATGAGTACAGTGTTAACAAAATACACGAAGATGATGTTTCGTATCATTATTTTTATATATGTCGTGAGTGAATAGAAACTCTCTTTAATAACTTTTCGTCTCTAGTTTATTTCTAATGTTAACGTTTGAACATTATCAAATTCTAATATATGATTTTTGCTTATTTACATGTTTAGCTAATTTTGAATTAAGATTTTATTTTCGAATAGTTTTTTATGATCATTTATACGAGTGTCTCTCATTCTATCTATCTCTTCAATATATTGTCCATCATAATCCTTACAGTCGATTTTATAGACTAAATTTTTCAATCGGCAAAATGATACTATTTAATGTTGATTGTTTTTAAAAACGAAATTAATTTTTACACTGTGGTAGTAGATTTAGATATTTTTTATACGTATTTCTCCTTCATAAATACCCCGTTGAATAGTGTGTCTAGTATAACCATTTAGTGGTAATATTTTTTTCAAACGACTCGTTTTTTTCTGGTGTTGAACAGATACTTTTAATTCGAATAACTAAAGTTTTTATAAGTACTTTATTTTACTGCTTATGTATTTATCCTTATCATGTATCATGAGAACATCAGGAAATGGTAAACATTGGTCATTTTCTACGATTACTACACAGAATATGATTGTTATCGACTTTTAACTTTGTAACGGATTTGGCAAAATCGAATGAGTCTTTCATGTAAGAAAATGATTTGCATCTATTATTCGATAATATATTTGCTAAGTATTTCGATAGTTCATAGTTAAATCGATTTACGATGAATACGGAGGGATTCATCATAAATCGATTGAGGAGATGGAAGGGACAGCATCAACACCAACAATCTCTGCTATAACAGCAACGTCTGCATTTCAACAAACAGACAAACCAAAATCATTGAAAGTAAATCAAAGTCAGACATTTGGCACAGCAGAACAAAACATGAAACTTCTTGAATCAATTGAAAGTGTTTATTTATTTAATGACATGAATGAACTAAACAGCAGCACCGACAAGTAGTAATCAGTGATAATAACGATTCTCAACAAGTTCGAAATCATCATGCAACATTGCGAAGGAACAGTCGACAAGAAAGATCATTTACCAATGATTGTCAGCTTATTTCTCGTTCGGTTATTACAATATCTTTCGGCATGACAGAAATTCACAAGGAGGTAAGCACAGATACACTTACTGAAATATCAGGTTTAAAAAAATATCAGCCATCGCTTAGCTCAACAGCTTTCTCCCTTCTTAACCAAAATCACTGCATATCTACGTCTGCATACGAAATAATGTCGTAAAAGATACTCACCTGAACGATTCAAATTACTCAAAAATCATCGGTTTTCAACCTCCTTTTTCTCAATATTTACCGTATATAATAGATATGGGCGGGACCAAGGCTTTTCAGTCCCGATCCCGTAAGTTTCGGTCCCGATAAAAAACCTTTTTTGGTTCCGATCCCGAAGCGTTTTTATGGTCCCAGTTTTTAATAAAGTTCAATGTATAGAAAAGAGCTGTAAGACTTCCTGACGATTTTCTACAACATTTCTATTTAAGTATGGAGAAAAGGCCAAGTTTTAGCTGATTTTACGCAACTGTGAAAAGAAATCTTAGTTCCAGTATCGGTCCCGATAAAAAAACTTTTCTTATCCCGTCCATGTCTAGTATATAGCCTCACTCCGTTTCTAGCCTATAATTTTTAAAGTAAAATGTATCTAGATATCTTTTATAGTGAATGAGATAAACAATTGCATTCTACACAAAATGAGACTAAAATAAAGCGTGAGCCTTTGATGGTTTGTACCTAAAAAGGCCTTACTAACGTAGTGCCAAAACTGTACCAAGGTGGAGAAATGCTGATGTTTCACTGGCTTCTTATGTTCATTCTTCTCTCATAGGAAGGACTGACGATATAAGCGAGCATTCATTACTTTTGATACATTTATCGTGATATTTTTCAATTCTATCAACCTGTTACACGGCATTTTTGTGTCGATACAGTGGTGATTGATTATTCATCGAAATAACTGAGTATCGAGATACACCGTGACATTCTCTTGTCTCAACCAAACATGGGATACTGGCTCCAAAAAAATCTCTTATTTTATTGTGAAGTTAACTTGCCTACTTCCTATTATGACTTAACGAATTTCATATCCGTGGAAAACATTTTCTAAATACATAGGTACAACAACAACTACAAAGATGTTCATTAGAAAATTTATGTAGTACTGATGCGACAATGGTTTGTTTTAAACAGTCCCAGTATTCAATTTAGCAGTCGTTTTCCTCTCATGGCATGAAATGGTTGGGGTGGATAACGTTTAATTAACAATAATGCGTGTAAATCAGGATTCTCAACGTCCATTAATCTTTGTTTTAATAGAACTGAATTCGGACGATTTTCAAGCGTAGGATGATTAATCATCGACCGTTTATCGTCGTAGGCATCGTCTTCTTGTGTAACAAATGGAAACGGTATCGCGGTACATATTAGCGTAAAACACAAAAATGTAACCAATAAGATAATTATCTGATTAGTAGTCATGTCTGAAAATAGATCAAAGCATATTGATGAGTCCTACTTTCAATCATCATGTCAGGGCCAATAGTAAAACATGAAGAAACCCGCAGACAGCACACAGACATTCACAGATAGCCACTGACAACTACACAGCCAGTGGGCAATTTTCACTAGGCACATGGTCTTTTGGCCTTCAAGCTAGAAGAGAACTTAAAAGCGCGTTTTTTACAGGTTATCGATGATTCTCTATCTAGTGGAATGTTTTTCGAATTCTAAAAAAGTTTTCTAAATGGTTTTCCAGAGATCCGGCCTCTAGAAAACCACATAGAAAATCTTTAAAAAACTCAAAAACAATTGTTTATTGGATAGAGAATCATCGATAACCTATAGAAATAGTATTTAGACGATTTCATCTGTTGATAATTTAAAATTTTATAATTTCAGTCAAAATCCCTATACGCACATGCAAGAAACAAAGGAATCAACTAAATTCAAAAGTTTCCCTACAAACACGGCTGAATTATACACCATTCGACGCAGTTTTTGCGCTGATTCCAAATATGTCGTTATTTTTTAATTTAAATGTTAATGAACCTAGAAAAACTTAATTTATTTCAAAAACCGGGTTTTTTTTTTGAAAACCTGTAACTCGATCCAGGAGCGTTTGTGCTAGTTTGCGCTATCAGTATATATGTATCGTTAGTAGCGTTAGTAGGTCTACCTTCGGTAAAAAATTCGTTGAATTTGAAGCTTCGGAAAAAATTGGAAATCGATTACACTGAGTACACATTTTCGGAAAACACGTAGCAAAAAAAGAAACGTAATTTTCTCGGTCATGGAAAAGCCAAAACAGAAAGTTTTTTTACGAATGGATACAGCGAAATGCCTTTAGACTATGTCAAATTTTAATAAATATCGTCTATTGTTTGTCGCAAATTGATTTTCTATCTTAACTGCTCTGTTTTCCTAAAACAATTTCATCGTCGATTTACCCGCTAGAAATGACACCTAGAAAAAAACTTGCAATGGCAAAGTTATAGAGCGTATGCCAAAGTATATGATGTGCTATTCAAACCTCGAAAAATCTCACTTTCGCTTTTTCACCTAAATACGCTGTGATTGCCCATTGTACACAGACAGCATAGAGACACCCACAGACAACCAAAAATCACACAGACATCCATTTTTGTGTCGCTTCTGTGTCCGTAGAAGTGGATGTCTGTGTAGTTATTTTTGGTTGTTTGTGGGTGTCTCTATACTGTCTGTAGGTGTCTGTGCATGTCTCTGGGTGTTTTCATGTTTTACTATCACCTATCATGTCAGTATGCGCTTCTAGTAGTTTAATGAATAGTAAGATCAACGTTTACCTTTCATCCTGGTTGTTCTTTTAAAACTAAAAAAACGACTGATCTCACTATAATCTTTCCAACATCGCGTTCTTATGTGATGTGATTAAATTAAGGCCTTTATTCGATCTTAAAGACGAATGACAAACGCATAAACTTTTGTATTTTTTTTCTCAATAATTTTTTTCAGTTAACTACAAATATGCCCATAAGAATACTTTGTCCCACTATACACATGATAGAGCATGCAAAAAGCGCATGTTCTTTATATATTCTAGAGAGTTTTTTCAAAAAGCTAGAGAAAAAAAATTCAGAAAAGAAACGAATTTATCTTTTGTATCAACCAAAACGGAAGACACGTAGTATCATTAATTATTAATGGACGAAAGTTTGCTGAATTTCCTAAGAATAATTAAAAAAGTATCGAACGTTTGCCGAAAAATCGTTGTTTTTCTCTCTTATAAACAAAACATTCATAAGTATCATATAAATTTAATTATAGATAGAAAAATGATTTTTCGGCATAAATAAATCAAAGTTAAAACTAACCTCTTATGATTGATATAGAAAACAACCAACGAACAAAACTTGTTCACTTTACAACGCGACTTATCACTGTATGAAAGGATAAAAAATAAATGTAAAATACTTTTCTTTTCTAGATACAAATTGTCAAAATTTATTTTAATAGACGCACTTTAAACAAACAAAATTTATTCTAGTTAATTGAAACAAACCATCTCACTGGTAATAATGATTGACATCTGTAATACTAATACATGAAATAATTACTTAAACATGAAATCGTATTTATCTTCGAACCAAGCCTTGATAATACCATCAAATTCTATAACTCAACGTCTCATAATTAACTAGTCAAAAACAAAAGATAAAGTATACAATGAGTGTACAACAAATAGATTAAAAATAAACTAATTGCGTCTAATAATGACTTGTGAGAAAGTTGCACCAACGTAAGTTTTAGTCCGTCTAATAAAGTCACCCTACATCTGCTATCTAAAGTCGACAAATTGGGATTGATGATCGTCATACAATTTGATATAATTTAATATGTTATTTATCGGTGAATTTGAAAATAAAAAAACGTAGAAACTTTTAACTGATCAACTCCGTTGTGTTTACATTACATTATTTTCCTATACATATTAGAATGTCGTTATATTATCGAGCATTAGTGAAAACAGCTAAGTAATCCCTCTCCCAGAATAAAAGGTCATGGCTTTCTAAAATATCCCGTTGAATCGCAACTTTTTGACTGGCCTTCTGGTTTGAGCTAGGCCTTCTATTTTCTCATGTAACATTGACCTGCGGATGACCTTATAATATAAGGTGATCTTCTATTTTGGATGGGGGTTTACTTCAAGTTCTGGTTCTAGGATAAGTTAACAAATTCTATTTATGTAACATATAATAGTTTATACATAAATACATGATAAAATGGCCTACATTCATCATATTTGCTGCACCAAAAAATGTTTATTAGAAAAGTTTTCAAAACTCTCGAAATCCACAGTTTTCTGAAAAATTTCTGCTATTTACCAGATGTATTAATAATTCTTATATTCTGTAACAGTTAAAACTATATTCCCCTCAGTATTATTGCGCTTTACTTTTTCAACAACTTGTTGAATTTTAGTTTTCTGTAGTGCTTTAAAAGGATTTTCAGCGTTTTCTGACACTTTTGATAAAAAAATTCATAGTTAGATATCGAGATATTCCCACTTTTGTGGAAAGTTTTCTTAAGCAGACTTTCGATCTTATAAGATTGGATGTAACGGGTGACGTAGCCAGAAAAATGGTCGAGACTGGCCTAAGTTAGGCTGGGACAGCTAACAGAGGCGCTGTTTATTGAGCTCTGACCTTAGCGTGTAGGGTACCTTAGGTCGCCTAAGCTCGTTATAGGTTTATATAAGTAGTATCCCAAGTAGTTCTGATGTTGTTTATTTCGACAAAAGAGCTAATAGCTAACTCTTTTGTAAGTTTTTCTTTTGAGTCGTGATTAAATTAGTATTCATTCAAAATAAATTTGTGTACGAAGAAATCTAACTATAGTTAAAAAATGCATTAAGCATTTGAATGCATGCCAAGTTCGGATCCAGTGGCGGTCTCTATTCTCCTGGTCATTAAATTAAGCATTGGTCTCAGTTGCCGAAAACCACATTGTTATCTTATATAAAAAAGGTTGCTTGTTGATGACTCACCATACAAAACAATACAGATGTCGATCTCTGAAAACCTTTTAGAAAACCACTTCAAAAGTTTTTGAACTGCATCATTAGATTCGCCATGGTCAAAAACCTACCGAAAACTGGTTTTCACAGTTTCTGGAAGCTCGAAGGTGCCATAATAAAACATCAGCTACAGCTTTAGAGAAAAACCTTAGAGACACAGTGGGCATCCAAGCGGAAATTAGGCGAAAAATTCGATCTGCTCATTTTTCAAATATGAATAGTGCAAAATGTAGCCCTCTTAATTCTCTATCGAATGGTGTATAAATGTCTATTTTGATGTCGTCTCCGTCGAGGAGAAATAAGGACACGAAAAGTATATGACGAATATCGAAAAACATGACACAAATGCTGGAAACTGTGATTTTTTATTCTTACATCTATGTTAAAACATTTGGAAACACATATTCGGAATCAGCATGTCCTCACCTATCTTTTGATAACAAAACGTATATACTTCAATAGAGATTTCAATGCATAACACTATACGGATTCATCATAATATCAGTTCGACCTAAGACCACCTCACTGCAGTCGAGTTCCCCTCGTTTCCCCCACTTCAAAATAACATCCAAATATATGAAAATGTTCCTCAGACCCTACTCTACTTATGCTATTTGC